AGTGACAGAGTTAGGGAGGGAAGGGGGTGACTATTGACAGAGGGAGGGGTGACTAGGGACAGAGTGAGGGAGGTGGTGACTAGTGACAGTCACCCCCTACCTCACTCTGTCACTAGTCACCCCTTCCTTCCCTCACTCTGCCACTAGTTACCCCCTCACTCTAGTGACAGAGTGAGGGAGGGGGTGACTAGTGACAGAGTTAGGGAGGGAAAGGGGTGACTAGTGACAGAGGGAGGGGTGACTAGGGACCAAGTGAGGGAGGTGGTGACTAGTGACAGTCACCCCCTCCCTCACTAGTCACTCCCTCCCTCCCTCTGTCACTGGTCACCCACTCCCTCCCTCACTCTGTCACCAGTCATCCCCTCACTCTGTCACTAGTAACCTCTTCCTTCCCTCACTCTGTCACTAGTCACCCCCTCACTCTAGTGACAGAGTGAGGGAGGGTGTGACTAGTGACAGTGAGGAAGGGTGTGACTAGTGACAGTGAGGGAGGGTGTGACTAGTGACAGAGAGAGGGAGGGAGGGGATGACTAGTGACAGAGAGGGAGGGAAGGGGTGACTAGTGACAGAGTGAGGGAGGTGGTGATTAGTGACAGAGGGAGGGATGGGGTGACTAGTGACAGAGAAAGGGATGGGGTGACTAGTGACAGAGAGGGGGATGGGGTGACTAGGGACAGAGGGGGTGATTAGTGACAGTGAGTGAGGGGGTGACTAGTGACAGAGTGAGGGAGCGGGTGACACAGTGACAGAGTTAGGGAGGGAGTGACTAGTGACAGAGAGAGGGATGGGGTGACTAGTGACAGTCACCCCCTCCCTCCCTCTGTCACTAGTCACTCCCTCCTTCTGTCACTAGTCACTCCCTCCCTCCCTCTGTCACCAGTCATCCCCTCCTTCTGTCACCAGTCATCCCCTCCCTCTGTCACTAGTCACCTCTTCCCTCCCTCACTTTGCCACTAGTCATCTCTTCCCTCCCTCCCCCACTCTGCCACTAGTCACCCATTCCCTAACTCTGTCACTAGTCACCCCCTCTCCCTCCCTCTGTCACTAGTCACCCACTCCCTCACTCTGTCACCAGTCACCCCCCACTCACTGTGTCTCCCCCTCACTCTGCCACCACTCATCCCCTCCTTCCCTCACTCTGCCACCAGGTACCCCCTCACTCTGCCACCTGTCACCACCTCCCACACTCTTCCACCAGTCACCTTCTCCCTCACACACTCGGTCACCTGTCACATATGCATTCACAGAGACACTATATACAAAAAAGCACATGTAGTCATCCAGACATGCACAAGTGCATTCACACAGACTCAAATACAAACATGCATTGATACACAGGTCTTGACAATATACACATCCAAAGGAATGCCGTATTATGAGTTATATTTAACATTTATTTAATGCACGTATATTTGGCCTTCAAGGGCCTGGGATCTAATTTTGCCCGGGGGCCCCAAAGGCTCTCAGTCCGCCCCTGTATAGTATGAATCTGTAAAAATAAAATATAACAAAACAAAACAATTGTGCAATATTGCCAGTACAAATACTTTTAAATAATAAAATCATGAGTGTCACTCAAAAATGAAGAGCCATTAACTTCATATGGCTCTGATGGAAAGCGTGGTAGGACACTTGAAGGAGGTCCAACTCGTATTACTCCTATTACTTACAGGAGTAATATGAGTTGGACCTACTTCAAGTTTTACATTGCAGCACTAGGTTCAAAAGGGACACAACACCCAGACCACTTCAATGAGCTTAAGTGGTCTGGGTGCCTAGAGTATCCCTTTAAAGGGACACTATAGTCACCAGAACAACTACAGCTTATTGAATTTGTTCTGGTGAGTAGAATCATTACCTTCAGGCTTTTTGCTGTAAACACTGTCTTTTTAGGAGAAAATGCAGTGTTTACATTACAGCCTAGTGATAACTTCACTAGCCACTCCACAGAGAGCTGTTAGAGATCCTTTCTGGGTCATGGCTGCCTAAAATGCATCCAAACATTCAGTATCTCCTCCCTCTGCATGCAGACACTGAACTTTCCTCATAGAGATTGATTGATTGATTCAATTCATCTCTATGAGGAGATGTTGATTGGCCAGGGCTGTGTTGAATCATGCTAGTTCTGCCCCTGATCTGCCTCTTTGTCAGTCTCAGCCTATCGTATGGAGAAGCATTGTAATTGGATTAGGCTACCACTTCTGATGATCTCAGCAGACTGGTTTTCCGAGTCTAACAGCATGCAGAACTACAGCTTCAGGATTTGGAGGCATCAGGGGGCCAGATGGTGGTGTTAACACTATAGCATCAGGAATACACATTTGTGATCCTGACCCTATAGTTATCCTTTAATTACAAACAGGAGGCTCCTGCAGTGTCTAGGAAGCTATTTACAGAGTCGGAGATAGGAAATCCTAAATGAGACAGGATTTGCAGTATGGAAGTGTAAACATTAGATGACTCTTTAGAGGAAGTGTTTAGAAAGGCTGTGCAAGTTACATTCAGGGAGGAGTGCCTAGGCAAGCATAAAAAAAGTGATTCAACTCCTAAATGAGAGATAATTGAGCAATGAGAATGCAGAGGTATGATCTACACTCAAAAACTGCTTCATTAAGATAACATTGTTTTGGTAACCATAGTGTCCTTTTAACTTCTGCATACTTCTATATGTACAGGAGTATGATCATTTAATGCTGTATGTCTTTTCTGTCTATTTATATTTATATAACACTAGAGTATTCCTCTGTTCATCTTGACAATTTTGCCCCTGTTAAAGGAAAATTAAAAAGAAGATAAACTCAACCTTAAGTTCTGCTGCAGCAGACACTCTACCTGTGACCTTAGTGATGGATGCTATTGGGGCATTCCAATGCATGAAACAGAGAACAGCCCTATGGTGCATACACGGCAATCACCAATTCAGCCAATCAAATGCATCTTATAGAGAAGCACTGAACATAATGCTTGTCTATAAGAAGTATTGTAATGCTGAATGTGAAGGTGTTTTTAGTTATTGATTTACAGCCACTAAAAACATCATTACTGACAAGTGTAAAGTTAAGTATACTGGTTCTAACAAATTACAGTGTTTACATTTGCCAGTATCCTGGGACAGGATCTTGGCACCAAAACCAGAACATTAAATTGTTGTGGTGCTTAGAGTCTCTCTTTAATTTATGATATCACACCTTAGCACTGGAGTATCCGAATGGTTAAGCTATCTCCCCATCTGTTTTTGAACTACAACTTCTGTGATTCATACACACCTTTCAGTAAATATCGAACAATACAAAATTAAGATTTTGAAATTGTATTTCTCAATAAATACACTAGAGGGTGGTATGACACCTACTATTCTGCTGTAAATTTTTGTTTTTGTAGATTTCAGTGTCTGAAATGTTAGTTTCCTTTACCTTTAGAAGTTTAAGGACTACAATTCATGCAACATCAACAATTTGTAAAACAAAAAGGGGAGAAGAGTCTGCGCTAACAAACAGATAAAAGAGCAGCAACCCTAAAAAGGGAATCCCTCAAAAAACCCTTGGAGAACAAGAGAAGGCAAAAGGAGTTAAGGGCTGCGCATAAAATCAATAAATAAAAGTAAAATCAGCAAATGTAAAAACAGCAAGTATTAGAACCAAGATATAATATAAGTAAAATAAACAGAATTCGTCCAAATATGGATGTTAGGTAGTATAAATAGGAACAGTCTCACTGGTATATGGTGGTGTGGTTTTAGTCCTCAGATATTTGTCCGTCCGTGTGATAAATAGTCCATATATGTGGAGAAAAAAGACAAGAGAAAAAGCTGCCAATGGTGAAATATTGCAGATCCAGATGTGGTATATAAATCAAGGAAAGGTATTGCACTCACATTTGTTGGAGCTTGGATCAGCTCTAGGAGAAAGGGCACTGAGTGGTTTAATCCCCACTATAGGATATACTGGGATGATAGGTCCGTCCGTCCGGCTTGGTATTCCTTCAGGTTGCTTAAATATAAACTAGGACCAGCTCAGATGGATGAGACTCTTTGTAGTTGAGGATATATTGTTTCTGCTTTCTTCATATTATTCAGGACCCACTAAAAGTACCTACATAGGTAGTGTACTGCCATAAGGGTACAAAGGTGCCTGTATTCAGAGCAGACCTTATAGGCTCTGCTTATGTGACTTGTAGTGATGTCGCGAACATAAAATTTTCGGTTCGCGAACGGCGAATGCAAACTTCCGCAAATGTTCGCGAACCGCCATAGACTTCAATAGGCAGGTGAATTTTAAAACCTACAGGGACTCTTTCTGGCCACAATAGTGATGTAAAAGTTGTTTCAAGGGACTAACACCTGGACTGTGGCATGCCGTAGGGGGATCCATGGCAAAACTCCCATGGAAAATTACATAGTTGATGCAGAGTCTGGTTTTAATCCATAAATCACCTAACATTCCTAAATTGTTTGGAATAACGTGCTTTAAAACATCAAGTATGATGTTGTATCGATCAGGTAGTGTAAGGGTTACGCCCGCTTCACAGTGACAGACCAAACTCCATGTTTAACGCACCGCAAACAACCGCAAACAGTCCATTTGCACAGCCGCAAACTCCCCATTTGCACAATGTTGGATACCAAGCTAGCCATGTCCCGTTCCTTGTCCTCACTGATGTCATTGAAAGTCTCTTCCTCCACCCAGCCACGTACAACACCAAGGGTCCCCAAAAGGTGACAACAAGCCCCCTGGGACGCCTGCTCTGTTTGGTCTTCCACCTCCTCAAAGCCACCTTCCTCCTCTGACTCCTCTTCTTCAGACTCCTCTCTCTGCATTGCCTCTCTCTGCGTTATTATAAGGTGTGTTAAGTAGTACTATTCCTATCAGTTTAATCCCTGTTACGTCCCCTATCAGGGGACGTGTATATGGCATCGATTTTAGGAACTGGGAGATAGAAAAAGATGCTTGGTCGGTCCTCCTTCTTCAAATTTGGGGCACTGCGCGTGCAATCTAATGTGCCACCAGATAGGAGTGGTGTGTTAAGTAATACTATTCTTATCAGTTTAATCCCTGTTACGTCCCCTATCAGGGGACGTGTATATGGCATCGATTTTAGGAACCCAGAGATGGAAAAAGATGCTTGGTCGGTCCTCCTTCTTCAAATTTGGGGCACTGCGTGTGCAATCTAATGTGCCACCAGATAGGAGTGGTGTGTTAAGTAGTACTATTCTTATCAGTTTAATCCCAATGTCACGACTACTAGTGTGGTCCAGCACGCAGAAACTATGTAAACATATACATAGCAAGAAAAGGAAAATAAAAGGACAGAGCGTAAACCGGACCTTAGAATGGCCGGACTAATACGCTAGAGACAGAGAATGGTCAAAGGGAAAGCCGAGGTCAAGGAAGCCAGAAAATACACAATACCGTTTACACAAGCCAAGTCAGGGAAACCAGAATTCAGAATAACCAGGGAAAAGCCAAGATCAGGATACCAGGAAATCAGATTCACAATGATAAAGCACTCTCAGGAAACCAGGAACAGGAAACGACGACAGGGTTACGTCCCCCTCATCAGGCCTTTTTTAGTCGAATGTATCGCCCACTGTCAGTCCCTTCGGGATCCATCCCTCATTCATCTTAATAAAGGTGAGGTAATCTAGACTTTTTTGACCTAGGCGACTTCTCTTCTCAGTGACAATACCTCCTGCTGCACTGAAGGTCCTTTCTGACAGGACACTTGAAGCGGGGCAGGCCAGAAGTTCTATTGCAAATTGGGATAGCTCAAGACACCGGTCAAGCCTGCACACCCAGTAGTCAAGGGGTTCATCGCTCCTCAGAGTGTCGATATCTGCAGTTAAGGCGAGGTAGTCTACTACCTGTCAGTCGAGTCGTTCTCTGAGGGTGGATCCCGAAGGGCTGTGGCGATACGTAGGACTTAAAAAGCTCCGCATGTCCTCC